GTTAGATCTAACATTCTAACATAAACATTATTTTTGGATCATTTACACTCATTACGATGAAGAAATCATGACAAAACATGTACGATGAAGTCTTGACAAAGCATGTACGTTCATGTTTGACAAAACATGTACGTTTAGTTTCGATGAAATCATGACAAAGAATGTACGATGAAATCATGAAAATTCAATGAGGGTAGAAATGAGGGTAGAAATGAGGGTAGAAATGAGGGTAGAAATGAGGGTAGAAATGAGGTTAGATCTAACCATCTACCCTAAACATTATTTTTGGGTCATTTACACTCATTACGATGAAGAAATCATGAAAATTCAATGAGGGTAGAAATGAGGGTAGAAATGAGGGTAGAAATGAGGTTAGATCTAACCATCTACCCTAAACATTATTTTTGGGTCATTTACGTTCATTACGATGAAGAAATCATGAAAATTCAATGAGGGTAGAAATGAGGGTAGAAATGAGGTTAGATCTAACCATCTACCCTAAACATTATTTTTGGGTCATTTACGTTCATTACGATGAAGAAATCATGACAAAACATATACGAAGAAGTTTTGACAAAACATATACGATGAGGTCTTGACAAAACATATACGTAAACATTTATTTCCTGTGTTGTTGTCTAAATGTCATGTTGTCTCATTTTTTCAGAGAAGTTAAATTACCTGGTGACCTGGTGACCTGGTGACACCTTCAGTTCTTCAAAAATAATTCATAAATGCCTTCCCCTGCTGTGTTGTCAAAATGTCATGTTGTCTCATTTTTTCAGAGAAGTTCATTAACCGAGTGACACATGGTGACGTAGTGACACCTTCAGTTCTTCAAAAATAATTCATAACTGCCTTCCCCTGCTGTGTTGTCAAACATGAACGTAAACATTATTTTTGGTTCATTTACACTCATTACGATGAAATCTTGACAAAACATATACGATGAAATCATGACAAAACATGTACGATGAAATCATGACAAAACATATACGTTTAGTTTCGATGAAATCATCATGACAAAGCATATACGATGAAATCATGACAAAACATGTACGATGAAGTCATGACAAAACATATACGTTCATGTTTGACAAAACATATACGATGAAGTCTATGAACATAATAATATTTCAAACCAGGAGCCAAATTCTTGCGATTTTCATATGGAATCTCTTCTCTCGGTTTTCCGAGGTAAGCAATTATATGAAATCATTTACACTCATTACGATTAAATCATGACAAAACATTTACGTTCATGTTTGACAAAACATATACGAAGAAATCATGACAAAACATTTACGAAGAAATCATGACAAAACATATACGAAGAAGTTTTGACAAAACATATACGATGAAATCATGACAAAACATATACACTCATTACGATGAAGAAATCATGAAAATTCATGAGGTGAGAAAAGAGGTGAGAAAAGAGGTAAGATCTCACCTCTTCACCTAAAATATATTTTTGTCTGATTTACGCTCATTACGATGAAAAAGTCATGACAAAACATGTACGAAGAAGTTTTGACAAAACATAAACGAAGAAATCATGACAAATCATTTGCGATGAAATCATGACAAAACATTTACGATGAAGTCTTGACAAAACATTTACGAAGAAATCATGACAAAACATATACGTTCATGTTTGACAAAGCATATACGATGAAACCTTGACAAAACATATACGATGAAATCATGACAAAATATTTACGTTTAAGTTCAACAAAGCATATACGATGAAGTCATAACGTAAACATTATTTTTGCTGAATTCAACAACAAAATGAACGAGGTCAGGATGTATGCAAATACCTTTGAATTCATTCATAAATGCCTTAGTAAACTCATAAAATGCTTGTTTTGAGGTTGAGCCACTTTTGGCTTGACCGTATTCTTTCAACCAAAACTCAAGAATTTTCCTGCGTGAATTTTGTATAAAAAGCAACCATCTGAATTCCGGCGATTGCTATATTCTTCACAAAATGCCTTATAATACTCTTCGTTCTACAAAGCAAGCATATCATTGGTTTGAAAACCAACAGACAAAAGAACTTTTAGAAGAATTTCCTCATATGATTGCTTCCCTCGGAAAACCGAGAGAAGAGATTCCGTATGAAAATTCAAGAGGGTAGAAATGAGGTTAGATCTAACATTCTAACATAAACATTATTTTTGGGTCATTTACGCTCATTACGATGAAGAAATCATGAAAATTCATGAGGTGAGAAAAGAGGTGAGAAAAGAGGTTAGATCTAACATTCTAACATAAACATTATTTTTGGATCATTTACACTCATTACGATGAAGAAATCATGACAAAACATTTACGTTCATGTTTGACAAAGCATATACGCTCATTACGATGAAGAAATCATGACAAAACATGTACGCTCATTACGATGAAGAAATCATGACAAAACATTTACGCTCATGTTTGACAAAGCATATACGCTCATTACGATGAAGAAATCATGAAAATTCATGAGGTGAGAAAAGAGGTGAGAAAAGAGGTGAGAAAAGAGGTGAGATCTCACCTAAACATTATTTTTGGATCATTTACACTCATTACGATGAAGAAGTTTCGACAAATCATTTACACTCATTACGACGAAGAAGTCTTGACAAATCATAAACGAAGAAATCATGACAAATCATAAACGAAGAAGTTTCGACAAAACATTTACGTTCATGTTTGACAAAGCATATACGCTCATTACGATGAAGAAATCATGAAAATTCATGAGGTGAGAAAAGAGGTGAGAAAAGAGGTTAGATCTAACATTCTAACATAAACATTATTTTTGGATCATTTACGCTCATTACGATGAAATCATGACAAAACATGTACGATGAAATCATGACAAAACATTTACGTTCATGTTTGACAAAACATATACGAAGAAGTCATGAAAATTCAATGAGGTGAGAAAAAAGGTGAGAAAAGAGGTTAGATCTCACCTCTTCACCTAAAATATATTTTTGTCTGATTTACACTCATTACGATGAAGAAGTCTTGACAAAACATTTACGTTCATTACGATGAAGAAATCATGACAAAACATTTACGTTCATTACGATGAAATCATGACAAAACATGTACGATGAAGTTTTGACAAAACATGTACGAAGAAGTCTTGACAAAACATGTACGTTCATTACGATGAAGAAGTCTTGACAAAACATGTACGATGAAGTCATGACAAATCATTTACGATGAATCATGACAAAACATGTACGATGAAATCATGACAAAACATTAACGCAAACATTTATTTCCTGTGTTGTTGTCAAAATGTCATGTTGTCACATTTTTTCAGAGAAGTTAAATAACCTGGTGACATGGTGACATGGTGACACCTTCAGTTCTTCAAAAATAATTCATAACTGCCTTCCTCCTGTGTTGTTGTCAAAATGTCATGTTGTCAGTAATTTTAAGAGAAGTTAAATGACCGAGTGACACATGGTGACGTAGTGACACCTAAAAAACCATCTACCCTAAACATTCTTTTTGCTGAATTCAACAACAAAATGAACGAGGTCAGGATGTATGCAAATACCTTTGAATTCATTCATAAATGCCTTAGTAAGCTCATAAAATGCTTGTTTTTGCATTCTCTACTGTATCTTCGAGTTCTTCTTCATCTAACTTCTCATGAACTTTCTTATCTATGGAGTCCATAATATATTTGACATAAAATGCATACTTTACAGAGCACCATTCAACAACAAAATGAACGAGGTCAGGATGTATGCAAATACCTTTGAATTCATTCATAAATGCCTTAGTAAACTCATAAAATGCTTGTTTTGAGGTTGAGCCACTTTTGGCTTGACCGTATTCTTTCAACCAAAACTCAAGAATTTTCCTGCGTGAATTTTGTATAAAAAGCAACCATCTGAATTCCGGCGATTGCTATATTCTTCACAAAACATTTACGTTCATTACGATGAAATCATGACAAAACATGTACGATGAAGTTTTGACAAAACATATACGAAGAAGTCTTGACAAAACATTTACGATGAAATCATGACAAAACATTTACGCTCATTACAATGAAGAAGTCATGACAAAACATATACGATTAAATCATGACAAAACATATACGATTAAATCATGACAAAACATATACGAAGAAGTCTTGACAAAACATTTACGTTCATTACGATGAAATCATGACAAAACATGTACGATGAAGAAGTTTTGACAAAACATATACGATTAAATCATGACAAAACATTTACGAAGAAGTCTTGACAAAACATATACGTTCATTACGAAGAAGTCATGACAAAACATGTACGATGAAGTCTTGACAAAACATATACGAAGAAGTCTTGACAAAACATATACGATGAGGTCATGACAAAACATTTATGTTATACAGTAATGTTAGTCATGAATGTTTGTCCTACGTGTTGGCGTTAGTGTTGAAAAATAATGTTTGTCCTACATGAAGCCGTACAAGCGTTTGAATTTGTTTATGCATAAAATTACTCTCTTGTTTTCTGTATCTATCATACAAACATAAGCATCACCTGTTTTTGTAAAGTTTATATGAAGTTTTCGATAGTTAAGACCTGTATAATAATAGAATGCGTCCTCATTCTCAACATAGTAGTAGAACTCAAACGAATGCTTACCATAATCTGTTATTTCAACAGCTTCGTCAGATATTTCATCAACGAACTCATAAACTATATCGCCATACTTGCTTTTATTTCTATTGTTTTCAGATTTAGAACACCAACGAAGGTTTGAGATTCTGTTGTCCGTTCTATCATGATTTATATGGTCTATTTCTTTCAAATTGTTTGGATTTTCAATCCACTGTTCTGCAATAATTCTATGCTTTAAGTACATTTTGTTGTTTAAACTAAGCTCAATATAACCATGATTATTTAAGCATTCACTCTTAATATGTTTGTTTTTCTTTCGACGAATAGTAAAAGGATATGTCGTACAAATCTCATAATCTTCATGATTTCTCAATGTTTCCCATTGAGTTTGTTCCCACTAACGTTCTCATTGACGTCCTCAATATCTTCTTCCTCACTGAACTCGTCAATATTTTCACTAGCTCCTTCTGTAATGTTTTCATCGGCATTGTCATTGACTTCTTCTGTAATGTTAGATGTTGTTGTTTCGCTCATGTTCTTTCACTAATGTTAAAAGTTATGTTGTACGAATTTTGAACAGAATTTAGAGCAGTTATGAAACAATGAAGTACTTTTTACGCTATTGAAAGGAACTATGAGAGTGAAGTACATGACAGCAATGACAAAAGGAACTAATATCAAACCTAATGAAATCGCTCACGAGGACATAGAGCTTAACAAGTACTTTGTGGAGTATCTTATAAGTGAAGAGTATGTAAGACCTTACTTCATGTTTGACAGCATGAATGAGGATGTTATTTCATGGTTAAAGAATATAAGCAATGTTTTCGGTAAGTACGTCATAGATGACAAAGGTCTTGTTGTATTTTATGAGACAGCAATACGAACACAGGAACTAATGGATATTATGCATCAACAGCAAAGAAAGGATTTAGTACTATTGGCATGAATGAACATTGCAGGAATGACATATACAACCTATGCTCACGAAAGCCTTACACAAAAGCAATACAAATGATAGAACATAAGTGTCTAAGGTCAGCAAATGAAATCATTACTGTCAGTGGTTATGAAAGAACTGTTAGCAAAGATGAGTGGAAACAGCTATTCATATTAAGGAAGGACGTTGCTGAACTAGTTAAACCTGTTGCACAAACATTGTTTCAGATAAGACCAGCAATGACTAAGAACCCTTTGACCTTAGTCAATGAGACCATAGAGGTTGAAGATAATGACATGAAAGAACTAGGAATGAATGAGAGAAGTTGTGAAGGATGTTTGAGTCAAAACACATGGTTCTTCAGAGCTGTTAAGAAACTTAGTAAAGAACGACAGAAATATTTTATAGAGAAGTATTGCAAAGGATGTGTAAATGAATTGCTTGAAATAGAACTTAGAGACACTTTCACACTAAAGGACTTGAGGAAAAATAAGTACATGAGTGAAGACGGTATTGACATAGCTAGTGTTATAAATGACTTAAGAAGATGTGTTGTCGTTATTGACGGAGCACGTATGACATATCTAGTGAAAGATTATGATGGAATACGAGACACAACAACACTTGTGTCAGTAGATAGCAAGGAATTCAATAAGCTCATGAAGAGTATTTATGTAGGACGTATTGAGGAGAAGGATGTGAACGCACTGATGATTTATGAAGCGGGTCAGAACAAGAACTATCTTATGAAGTCAGGCATGAGATTCTTTGACGAAAGAGATGACATTTACAGCTATTTCAGAGGATATGAGTATGAGGTACTGAATGAAGTAGATGAGAACGTTATTGAAGGATATTTGAAACATGTTCACGATGTCATATGTAATGAGGATGAAGAGCTTTATGAGTATGTTTTGAACTGGTTCGCCTACATCGTTCAAAATCCTTGTGGAAAGACTGGAACAGTACTTTTGTTAATAGGAAAGCAAGGAACTGGTAAGAATGTACTTAGTAATGTTCTATGCGAGCTCATTAGCAAGTACGCCAACAATAATATAACGGCAATAGAGAATGTGGTTGGTAGATTCAATGCTGCTATTGAGAACATGAAGCTCATCGTATGCAATGAACTAAGCTCATGCGATACGTCTAAGGTCATGAACCACGACGCACTAAAGTCAATAGTAACAGAGACTCAGTTGGACTTAAATCAGAAGTGTCAGCCAGTAAGAAAGATAGAGAATGTTTGTAATATCATCATGATATCTAACAACTTCAACTCAGTAAAGATTGACAAAGACGACAGAAGATTTGTTGTCATTGACGTAAGCAGCAGATACAAAGGAAATTACGAATATTTCTCAAATCTCATTGAAAGCTTTAATGAAGAGTTTTATTCAAACTTACTGACGTACTTCATGAAGAAAGATTTAAGTGAATTTGATGTAAGGAAGATACCATTCACCAGGGCTAAACAAGAACTCATCGAAATGAACAAAACACCTTACCAAATGTTTTACGAGGAGTTCTATGAAAAGTTTGTATCCGGATGGAATTGTACAGAGTGCTACAGAAGATATAAAGAATTTGCGAAGGAGAATGAATTCTTTGCATGTAGTTCAAATGTATTTGGTGGCAAGATGAGAGAATTTGTGAAGAGAAGTAGAAAGCGAGACGGTTCTGCAAGAAGTTATATTTACGAAGCAAGTATGATATTAGAAGGTCGTGGAAAGAAAGAAACAGTGAATTATGAGGAAGTGCTTGAAAAATTCATGGAGTACATGGGAAGCAATATAACATACAACAAAGACATATACAGTGAGTTTAAGTACTACTGTGAACAGCATGAGATTGAAGTAATGAGTAAAGGAGACTTTGAAACGCTTATGAAAGACAGTGAGGAGGTCGTTCATGAATAATGAAATAGTTCATGAGAACAGTGAGGAGGTCGTTCATGAGAACAGTGTGAAATAGTTCATGAGAACAGTGAGGAGGTCATACATGAGAACAGTGATGAAATAGTTCACGATGTCGTTCGTGAAGAAGCCATTGCAAACAAAGAATGTTATAAAGGATTTCATAGAACTTAACAAGGAGGAGTTTAAAGAAGGCTATGAAGTGAAAAGATGTGAAGAAGATTTCTTGGCGTATTTGAAGAAAAAGAGACTAAAGCCAATGGCTCAAAATAAGTTTCAATCGATGTTTGAAAAGAAACGTTTGAGCTATGGTGGTGTAAGAAGCACATATTACTTTGTTAAGAAGTGAGGACATTTATTTTTGTCGTTAGTGAGAGAATAAATTAAATCATGAAACTTTGCCATGGTCTCTGTCCCTAGTAGTTTTCATTAAGTTCTGGAAATAATGAAAGTCATAAACTTTGCCATGGTCTCTGTCCCTAGTAGTTTTCATTATCTCACAGAGTTAATGAAAGTCATACTTTCTATCAGATGAAGCATGCAGATGAACATAACGAAAGTTAGTGAGTTTGCCACGAGTTATGAATAAAATATTGGCATATTAGATGAGATAGCTGATGAAACAGATGAAGATAAATTAAATCTTGGACTTTGCCACACTCTGTCCCTAGTTCCTCAAAATCCTTGACAACGTTGCTTAGAAATTTTGGTTCAAAACCTCATCTGATTTTAATCTGTTATGCTAACCTGTTAAGTTTCGCGAGATTATAAATGTCATGGAGTTATATAAAAAGGAGGGACAGCTAGGGACACTGGAAGTACTTGTAAGGGCTATCTGTTAAGATTGCATGAAATACTAAAAAAGTCATGAAATCCATTATCGCTGTGCTAGCTTCACCTTAGAGTAAAATGACGACTAAAGTCACTGAAGCAATGAAACAAAAGTTTTTGGTAGAATACATTAAATCAGGAATTATTCCAGAAGGTTTTTTACATTCATACTATGAAGGATGGTAGAGTTCAGTTTTAGAAAGATAAAGCAACCATTAGATAAAGAAGGAATTTTGAGAAAGATTAAACTTCATGAGGACAACATTGCTGAACTTAAGAAGAAGTTAGAAGAGTTGGAGAAAGCAGACGACAGTGAGGAATAAAGCAATGAATTCAACAGGGTAGAAATGAGGTTAGAAATGAGGTTAGAAATCGGGTTAGAAATCGGGTTAGATCTCACCACTTCATTCACCTAAATTTATTTTTGTGCTATGTTTTCATACGTGTGAGGGTGGTGAGATCATTTATTTTTATTTTATTTTTTAAAATTATTTTTATTTTATTTGGATGTAATGACAGAACAAAAGCAACTCATACAAATCAAAACATATAACAAACATACATTTAAACATTTATTCTTCCTTCCTGAGCATAACATGTTCTTTCAAATACATCCGAGACCAGTTGACTTTTCATTGACTGTTTATAAAGATAGAAATAGTTATATCATTAAACCATACGATGACGAAGGTAAGTTATGTAAATTGTACGTTAAGAAGTTAGAGAAAGTTTATGGCTTCAAGTATGACTACAATAGGGTTAACACTGATGATGAAGATATTGAGGAAAATTTATGAGAACATTAGTGAAGTTGTTAGTGAGAACGATAGTGAGGTGAAATTGTTGGCGGCTTTGTAAATATTTAAGGTTAAGTTAGTTTTTGCGTTCATGTTGTAAAATATACGTTAACGGTTTCGTAAAGTGTCAAATTCACAAGTATTGGGTAAGGTGGAACGCAGTGCCACCATACCCAAGACTTGTATACCAACCACAATGCAGTTATTAAGGCAGCAAAATTTCTGGGAATTTACAAAGAAAAAGATAAAAGTAATCCAAAAGCATATTATGTTGATTATGAAGCAATTCTTCCAAATACAATCTGGCATGTGGATATTCATTTTTTGAAAGAACCAGAAACTTTACCGGTTTATGGAATAATTGATGACAAAAGTCGTTATTTGTTAGCATTGAAATTGTTTCGTAACAAAAGTTCAACAGAAACTTCAAAAGTGGCAATTGCAACAGTTCAAAAATATGGAGCACCTTTTTGTTTCTGGTCAGATAACGGTAAAGAAAATGAGGGAGAGTTCACAAAATTTTGAGTACTTATGACATTCAAATCAGAAAATCAGCTCCATACATGCCACGTCAAAATAGCAAAATTGAACGCCTCTGGCCATCACTGGACAAAAATGCTCCAAAGTCTTCAGAATTTGAGAGCATCAATCAGGAATTGGAAGAATTCAGGCAAAAATACAATGACATGCCACATGGCGCTCATCCAAAAATTGGAGTTCGACCATACACTCCAAGAGAGGTTTACAACAAATTTAAGAAATGGACCAAGGATGATAAACCGCTCTGGAAAAAATGTGTTAATAAGCAGTGGGAAGTTGAAGAGATTCCAAACTATTGAAATATTCTATATTTTTTTCAAAAATTCTCATTCAAATTTGAATTTGGTTTTCAAAATTATGAATAAACATTATTTTTATTAAACTTGATTTTTAGCTCTGAAGAATCAAAAGAATTTAGCGAGAAAGAATATGCAGCTCACATAGGGGTAGATAAAGATATATCTCGAAAAAAATTTAATTTATTGTAAAGAATGAAGAAGTTCGTTTTAAGATTGAGTTGATTTTCAACCAAAACGAGAGAGCATGCAGGCAAATGAAATTCGAAAAGTGAAAGGAATGACATATGCAAAAGAAAAGATTCAAATAACGCAAGCGAAATATAGATCAGTTAAAATCAGAATAAAATTTTGATCTTTTCTACAGGGAACTAAAAGTGAGAAAACTTGTTCGAAATGCGAAATGATTGCGAACAAGTTTTCTCACTTCAGCGAGGGAATTGTTCCTTATGATGCATACATTATAAATATATACATCATAAAGAACAATTCCCTCTAGATAGCTGGGAAACTTTCTCTAAATAACTTATCATTTGGAGAAAGTTTCCCAGCTATCTACTGGGAACTAAAGGCTATGAGACACTAATATATAATCAGTGCCTCATAGCCTTTAGTTTGTTATTAAAAACGAGAAAACTTGTTCGAAATGATAAACAATTTCGAACAAGTTTTCTCATTTTAAGGAGGGAATTGTTCCTTATGAGGTATACATCATAACTATATACCTCATAAGGAACAATTCCCTCTTGATATCCTGGATATTTTTGAATATATTTTTTTAAAAATCCTGTTTATCATATATTACCGAATTCAATTCCCTACATATTTCAAAATATTCTATGAACATTTCAATTTTTGAAAAAACATATTTTTTCCAAATATATTTATTATCATATTTCTAATAATATTTCCTAAAGCGTCACTTTTTACTTCCTCGACGATTATTTCCCTCTCAAAAAATTCAATAGCTTACATTTTGACAGAACTTAATATGTAACAATATATAGATTATTTTATAAAAGATAAAAAATAAATTACCCAGATTTTCCTTACTTTTACCACTCCCCATGTAATTTCTGGGGAAAACGATAATTCATTTTTTTTATGGATGAATAGATCGTTTTCCTAGAAAGGACCTCATATCTCTGGCTAAAAAGAGTGTCAGATCCTAAATAGGTTATTGATCTAGTGTACAAATCCAATAAAAAGCCTATTTTTTTGGCTTTTTTGGTGCTCATTTTTTCGAAGATCTACATGAATATGGGGAAACCATCGGATTTTTTTTGTTAACCCACATCTTCATGTAGTCTGGACTATCTTTCCTCGAAGGACCTCTTTACGGGTGTAAAAACTCATAAAGTTCTCAAAAGATTCATTCTCGATCTCCATGCTGAAAGAATTTACAATAAAAAAGAGATCTACGCATCAAACTACAGCCATAAATGAACTGAACCCCTAAAGCTCAGCTCTTAGTTTATCAAAAACGTCGAAATCCTTCTCATTGCAATCAAATTTTCTCAATAACTCATAAGAAAAATCGAATTTTGATTAAGCCGATGTTATAGGTATCACAAATGCTACAAACTTGAGCAATATCGAAATTGCCAGCAAAAGTTTGAAATTGCATTGCTCATATTTGTTTTGTAAACTAAAAATCTGCTTATAATATTCATTAATTTTTTATATATTATTCATATACTTTAATAAAAACAATACTATTTCACCTTAAAAATGAATTTCATAAGTCAATATTATTTTTTTGAAAATGTACCAATTTTCGATTAAAACAACATGAGAATAAAATTTACGCAAAATTATTTTAAAAAATGGTTTTAAAAATTTAGAATTGATTAAGAATAAGATTGCAAGAAGTTTTGAAGTTTAATTTTAAGAAAAAAAATTCGGATATTATTCATGAATCTAAGTAATCTGATATTTGAGTATCGGCACTATGCATAAAACATATATTTATAGTTTTTTTGGATTTTTATGATTTTAAATATATTCAAATTTGGCAATCCAATAGATTTTTAAAAAATAGGTAAATAAAAAAAAAAGGTAGTGGGGCTTCCAGGCACTTCGTGCCCTCTAGCCCCTAAGAAATTTTGCCCAAGACCCAAGAGGAGGACCGAACCCCAGCCGACCAGCCGTTGACTTTTTTGTAGAGCACTCAAAATAGTATAACTTTGTCCGGACAAGTAAGGGTCTATCGTCGCTACAGGAAAAGTTACAGGCGTTCCAAGGAAGTATACTTTGAGAAGCCTTTTCTCCCTTTTAAAACAAGATAGGACGGTTATTTTACAAAACTGACAACACTTTGACCGAGTAATTTTTGTGCTGAACAAAAAGTGTCATATAAACATCTGTCAAAAACCGCTTTTTAACTTCACTTAAAATGCCACGTAAGCTACGTAAGAATATACGTAAGAGGAAGGGAGCATTGAAACATCCAATAGTAAAACTGACACCACAACAACAGTTGCAACAACAAATGATGAATGACCCCACTATGTTGCAACAAATGTCAAGCAACCCTATGCTTTTAAACCGAGTTATTGGTGCACAGAGTGGAGGTTTAAGAGCGGCACTTTTAGCGAAAATGGCAGGCTATGGTGGAGCTGCAGACGGAACAGCTTATAACCCTCAAAGTCAAATGAATTTGAGTTCACTCAAAAATCAAATAACAGATGTCAAAAAGTCAAACATAGACATACAGAAACAAATAAGTGAAAACGAAAAGAAACTAAATATGACAGACACACAAAGAAACTCAATGAGTTAAACGTAGAGAAAAAGAAGAAAGAAGAACAACTGAAAGAACTAAGTACAGAGGAATATGCGAAAAAAGTGTCAGAAAAAGCAGCAGCAGAAGTAGCAAAAATGGAACAAGATGTTATAAATTTGAAAAACCATACTACTCAATATAAAGTACTGAAAGATGAAGAAATAAAACAAAAAGCCCTGAAGACATATATGGATAGTGATGAGTATAAAAAAGAAGTTGAAGCAAATGTAAAGGCAGAAAAACTTTTACAGTTGCAAAACCAAACCGTACAGTATGAAAACTTAGCACAAGAAAGTAAAAATAACGACGCAGCCATGCAAAAGGCAATGAAAAGCGCAGAATATATAAAAGCTAATAATGACTGGTTAGATGCCCAAGCCAACGCTAAAGCAGCCCAACTTATAGGGTCAATAAGGACAAAAATACAAGCGGATGAAGACAGTTCAAATGAAGCTTTAATGAATGCTGACTTTAAGAACGCCTTCGAAGCTCTTCATAGTAAGGTGAAACAAGTGAACGATTTCTCATCTGGAAAGAAACTGAAGTCTGAAGGTTTCGACAACGAGTTAAGAGAAGTAGCACAAAATATGACGAAAATAACAGATGCAGCAACGAGACAGGCAGTTCAAAGTGCCTATGACGCCGTTAGAGCAACTGTTGTGGAAAGTCAAGAAAAAGAGTTACAACAGACCAAAACAGACCTAGTAAATGCTTTCTTAAAAACGAAAAGTCAGGTAGGACATTATGCTGCAGATGGAACATATGTGCCAGCTGGTGGAACTTATATACCAGCTGGTGGAACTTATATACTAGCTAGTGGAACTTATATACCACCAAACCCTCCAAGAGAAGCACCTGCACCAGGACTACCTAAAACATTTACATCGTCACATGGACACAGACACAGGCATGCACCAAAACCAACACAACAACCAACAGTTCAAAATCCAGCACCACAACCAACAGTTCAAAACACTGCACCACAACCAACAGTTCAAACACACTGCACCACAACCAACAGTTCAAAACACTGCACCACAACCAACAGTTCAAAACACTGCACAACAACAACCACAAACAGAGCAAGGACATAAAAGAAGTAGAGAACAAGGAAACCAAGAATTCTTAAAAATGCTTAAGGAAAATTATGGTTACCCAGATACTCTTGACTTTAGTGACAGATATAAAGAAGCTATTAGAAAGTTCAAGGAAGGAAATACTGACCCGAACCTATTTAGCTTTATGGTTCAGCACCAAATGGGATATAATTTCAAACCTGGAAAATACAAGCTCGCTAAGGGATATGATTTAATAGCATATCATCCAAATGACATGAATGAATTTACTCCGAGATATTTGGTGTCAGAGATAAATGATAATTCAACTATCTTCATGAAACGCGTAAAAAATAGAGACGGAACGAAAGAAGAAAGGGTTATGAATGCGGATGGCTTAAATAGGGAACTTGTTAAAAACGGTCTCGGAATATATGAAATGCCAGCAGATGAGGTACAAGAAACTCCACAGGAAGAAGTTCAGATACAACCAGACATGGAAGAAATAGTTCAGCAACAACAGCTAGAAGAGCCTGAAGGAAACAAACAAGTCCCTCCTTTGGAAACTAACTTCACAGAACTAGATGAAGATTTGGAACAGCCGAAAAATCTTGACCCTCAACAAGTGTATGCGGAGAATATGGAATCTTTCCAAGAGTCTAAGAAAAATTCGGCTGACATAGTAGAAGAATATCGAAAAATGTTCGCCGACATACAAAAGACTCCAACATCAGATGAAAATATTCAGCATAGAATGGAAGTACTGAAAGAAAATGTACGCAAATACAACAATCCTTTTTACTTACGACCATATAACGTTCAATCTTTGGCTGAACTCGGTGAAAATAAAAGGTTAAATTTCACCAAAACATATAGAAATGAAACATTGTTTAAAGTTCATTCAGAACCTAACCAATATGGAAACAAACCTACTTTTGTTTCTGCAGACGATGGAACTACAATGAGATGGGGTCATAAAGCTAATCCGGATAGGTGGTTCATAAACTTACAACCACAATTCCAAGAAGTTGTAGACGCAATGGAAGTGAATGGTGAACCAGATATAGCTGGTATTTTCAGCGCGGCTTTAATGCCATTGAAAGATATGAAAGATGCAGATATTTTGAACCAGTATGAAATGAACATGGCTGATGGAAATATAACACCTGACGTTCTAAAACATTTATCTCAAAGAACTACACAGAACCATAAAGATGGTATATTTGGTGAAGAGTTTAGAAAGAAAGTTAGGGAGATAGAAGGAAGAGAACCTATTGTACATGACCTTGCAAACGAAAGTTTGCAAAATGTCATAAAAACTTACTTTGCAGACAATGAACTGATAAGGGATGAATATTTAAGAAAACTCAAATGGACAGTACCAAATGAAATGTTAGTATTGAAAAACATGTTCCTTGACAAAATAAAACCAACTACAGAAATAAATGACGCAAGACTGAAACATTGGGTAAAAGCTTTCCCATTCACAAAAGATATTATTGGTAACATGGAAAGAAAACCAGAATGGCTACAAAAACATATATTTGGAAACGAGCATATTCCATATGGACAAGCTATATTTGAAGAGCTTGAACCGGAAACTCAGGAAAGAGTCATGCAAACAATAAGCGAAGACTCAAATACAAACTATGACAAAATCTTTCTAGGATATAGGTTACCTGAGATGGGCGACCAGAGCCCAAAGGCAAAAAGGACATGGAAAATTTACAACATACTAGGTGAACATGAGGCAAAGATGCAACAACTTGAAGCAGAGGGCAAGTTACCAAAAGCGACACCAAAGAAGAAGAGTAGAACAAAGTGAAAGTAGTGAAGAAGTAACTTCATCTAGTGAAAGTAGTGAAGAAGTAACTTCATCTAGTGAAAGTAGTGGCAATGAAGGAAAAAGAAGAGTTAAAAACTCAGTCAGGAAGAAAGTAAAGCTTGGTACGAGTGGGTTCTATTATGACACATAAATCCAACTATTCTATATTTTTACCCATATGAAATGTACGCCGCTCAGAATATAACGCCAACAGTTTTGGATGCCATGAACGGAAATGTTTCCGAATGGTATAACGAATGCGACAATGCCATTAGAAGGTCAGAAATAGTTCCTGGAACTTACGAATATACAACTGCTGTTTCTTATGGAAACGTAGGTGAGTTTGGAGAAGGTTCTTCAACAACAGTAGATATTGCTTGCGACAGGTTTCATATTATTTCTATTGACAACTCATTCTTATACGTGGAACAATACATTGAAATAAAACCTTCTGCCAAGTTGTCTGACAAGAAAGGTTGCAATGGAATTTTCTATGTCGGATACCAATATGCTCCAGAAGTTTTCATGGGATATAAGATATATTCTAACTCTGACTTAGTTCAAACAGTAACATGGGCAAACTATGAATGGTTCGCTTTGAGAAACTCAGTACAACCACAAGCTAGAGAACAAACAGACCAGTATGCAAATATTGAGAAAATAAGAAGACTTGACCCTAACGTTCCAGGAGTTTATGTTAACCTTTCTGGTTCAGATGGAAATGCTGCCACTAAAGTAAAACTGAAACTTAGAGTTCCTTTGTCATCTTTCCTCATCTTCAGGTTTTTAAGATACTTACCAAACTGGGCAGGAAAAATTTCTATCGAACTTACTCCAAGCAAAAATAACTTAGTCATTGCACCAACACAAGACCCATTCACTATTACAGACGTAAAGGGAACAAATCAAACATCATTCGCCGAATTTTGCAAAGACAAAGTTGACTTAGACTTTGGTTTCTCAAACTTCAACAATGAAGTAAACTATTATTTCAATGCTGCTGGAACTGCTTGGGACCAGTTAAGTTCACATGCGAAAAATTTGAATGCAAGAGAATAGAAAGCAGACTTGCAGTCTATATGTTGGACCCAGATATTTCAAATGCTTTAGCTGCCAAATATATTGCAGTTCCACTTATGTTCCCTATACACCAAATATCTGTCAAAGACTTTGCAGGTGAAGTTGGAAACCAAAGTGCTGACCCAGGTGCAAGAACAGATATTGCTTTAACAACTGCAATGAAACATGCAGATACTATGTTTGTACTGTTCAGACGAACTATAAATGACTATTCTTGTTTCTACAACCCCGGTATTAAATATCATATAAACATAGATGGCAAATATTATCCAAGAGAAGAATATTCTACAGTTGAGGATATGAGGTCATACAACTTGACATTAGATGCTATGAACTTTAACAACAACTTCACAACAACCATTAACCCTGAAATGCAAAGTTCTATTATGCCATATGTGAAAGTATGGACTCATACAGGAGGTCAAAAAACTCAATATACAAATGGAGACCGTTTCAAACTTTTGGCTTGGCATTCCATTTGCTGACTCAGAAGACTTTATGGGTGGTATTTCAACTGTTGTACTGTACAAATACAATATACTGGTGACAGAGACGGTCCAGATGAACTGAGAGCAAAGAAGTTTACAAAACCAATAGCACTTTTCACGGAAGATGCTCTTTTGAAGATTCGTTCGATGAAACCTGCTGGGGCTCCTCAGATTGGCATAACGACAGCTTCCATCGAGCAGATTTTGGCAGCAGGTCAGTAAGTTGTTCTTGAACTGACTTCTCTCCGTCAAATATTGACAATACGCCAGTTTTGACATAATATTTTATTATATACTTTCCTTTAGTAATATCTGTAAGTTTTGAAGTTATATTTTTGTCTGCTTCAAGAACTTTCACCATTTCAGTTATACCAACTTTCTTTGCTTTATGGAAATATTTTGGTTCAGCAAATATTGCTATTCTATAACATTTACCATTGTTTGTATAAAGAACTATTCTGTCAATGTATTTGTATTGTTTGTGTGTGTAAACTTTGTTCTGCTTCAATTCGAAGAGATACTCGAATACGTCCATCTTTTTATTCTAAGTAAAATGTCATTTCCGAAAAAATAGAAGCGTGAGTGTTTCAAAAGGTTTAATGGCGGTGGCAGATGTGAAGTTAAATTCACCAACTCAAACAAACAGTCAAAGTGTTATTGTCAATGTCAAAGACAGAGATGTTGAAGTGGGGAAACCATACGAGGACGAAGATGGTATAACAATTGTTCCTGTAAAAGAACAACCAACATATCCTGAAGTTAGCAGAGACTTAAGTTCTGTTGCAGATATTCGAAACGACTACCAACAACTGAAAGACAAACTTCAAACTCAGGAGAAGATTTGTCAGGCTTTAAGTATAATGTTAAACTTGGTCGAACACAACCCTGTAAAAGTGAACTCATATGTCATTGCACCTCATGAAGTTTTGAAAAACTATTGAAACTTTTGACAGAGGCAGACGATATAAACATCAAAGAAATAGAACCCGACATTAGTTGCTGTGGTGTTTCATATAATGTCATTGACAAGATATACGTTATGAAAGGAGGTGAAACGTTGAACTTAAAGTATAGTTTCCCAGACGTCATAAAAATATTTGACGACCACAACATTTCATTAAAGTTTATTTGCTAAGTAAAATGGCAGAAGATATAATGGTTTATACTATTACGACTAAAAAACCCTGGGTCATATAATTCTATAACAACAAAACTTACAAAGTCCTCAAGGACGGTATTGTAAACTAACCTTAAACACAATGACGACTAAAGCCTGTTTTGCTCTTTTGACACCAGAAGACTTTATTGTGTGAATGGTAAAAAATACTCCTTTGAAGATACTTACTCAGATATACCACCAACAGGTTTTGTTGACTTATTTAATACTTTAAGGACGGGTGTAACATGTGCTGCAACTAGAGCAGGTTTCATTATGTTTGGATGTCCGACTGAGTTTACTATAAACGATATGAGCTATAATACAAAACTTATTTCTGGTTTTTACTACCAACAGTTTCCTATAACAGGAAAAGGTGTCATACAAGGAATGTCTATTCCATTGACATTAAGCACACCAATCTATATATTGTTTCAAACTTAGGTTCAAAGTGTTATTCGAATGTCGACAGAAACTATTATGACCAAAAGATACTTATGCGTATAAACAATACTTTCTCTGCTGGTTTGCCTATTGTTCATTCGAATGCAGAATTTTCAACCTTAGTGAACTCAAACACTTTGGCAAGTATAACGTTGACATTAGTTGACGCAAACTTTGTTCCTGTAAAACTTTTATGTCCTATGTATTTGTCAATGACGGCAGAAAGTTTCGAATTGGAAGATGCAACTGGTGAAAGTATTGTATTACAAGAACAACTTCAACAACAAATAGCTCAAGAACAACAAATGCAACAAATGCAACAACAAAGTCAAGAATAAAAAAAATATTTTTTTATTTTTATAAAAATGTACAGAATAGATGTTTCAGATTTTTATGACTTCCAAGCATTCAGAAATATGTGTCCATTTAGCGACTATAACAAAGCAGTCGAGAATTTGAAACGTTTAGTCATTTATGTTGACTCTGCCCCAGAATGTTATGTCATGAAAGAATGGGATGTTGTCTTTAACAAACCAAGAGCAACAATAGTGTCTGAACAAGAATGTAGACAGAAACTTAAGAAAATAAAAGTTGTACAAGTTGGCATGAAGATGTTAGATGCTTGGGATATCTTATTGTCAAAACTTGAAGATTTTTCAGTTCGAGGTATAAAGTTCTATACACCTTCTCCAAAACTTCTATCTATCTTCACTGGATATAAATATGAACAAGTAGAATGGAAAGAAAATATTATAGAAGCTTGGTTAGACCATGTCAAAGAAATTATATGCAATGGAAACGAAAGAGTCTATGAGTATATCTTATGTTGGTTTGCAAACATCTTACAACATCCAAGTGCTAAAAATGAAACTGCTCTCATTATAATTGGAAAACAAGGAACTGGTAAGAACACATTCTTTACAGATATTTTGTGCAAACTGTTAGATGGCTATTCGAATCCGAATATGACAAACTTAGAAAACATCTGTGGCAAGTTTAACTCCTCAATAGAGAATATGAAACTTATAGTATGTAACGAACTTCAAAGTATAGATACAACAAAAGTTTTGAACTCAGATGCTTTGAAGAGTCTTATAACAGACAAGTTGGAGTTGTTGAAAGAAAATATAAAGACCAAAGAGTTTGTGAAAATGTTGCAAACTTCATTATGGTTTCAAACAATGCTGTTCCGATGAAGTTAGAAAGTTCTGACAGAAGATATGTAGTTGTCAGAACGTCAGAAGCTCATATGCAAGATACAGAATATTTTGACGACTTAGCAGAAACTTTGACATCTGACTTTTACAACCACTTGTTCTCATATTTCATGACATTAGATATTTCAAAGTTCAATCCAAGACAAATTCCACATACCGAAGAGAGACAAACATTGTTAGAAGCAAACAAGAGTGTATATGAACTGTTCATAGATGAAACTGACTTTGAGTGTTTAGATGAAAGGTCATTGTACGATTCGTATAAACAATATTGTCAAGAATATGGTTATATGACAGCGTCTAAACGAACATTCTTGGCAAATGTCAAAAGTCTTTTAGACGTACAGAAAGGTGTATATACAAAGAAAATTTTTTATGAGTAAATTTTAAAAAAATATTTTTTTTATCCGATAGAAAAAGATGACGAAATTCATCTCAGTAAACAAGTACATGTCAGGACTTAAAGAAGAACTAGACCCATTCACATATTTGAATGTTTACTTCTACCATTTTGAAAAGTCTTCATTCAGCAAAGTTTGGAACATCGAACCAGTTAAGTTTGCTATTGTGACTAAAAATGGTGCGAAATTTGAAGACTTAGACATAGAAGGTTTGTTAGCAGTCAAAGAAAGTTTTGACAGAAGGTTTTCAAACCTTAAAGAAGGCAAAGCATACAAACTTGTTATACCTTATGAACCAAAGAAAGCAGACGACTATGAATATTATGAGTCTAAAGTTGTAGAAGTTCAAGGTAAATTGGGTAAAAAGATTTTAGAGTCTAAGCCAGTGTTTGCTCCTAAAGAGGAAGAGAACATTGACATTGACCCAGAAATGTTCTAAAAATAAAATTTTATTTTTACATGTCAAATTTCTTTTTCTCTGGAACTGGCTCTGGTTCTTTCTTCTCTTCTTCTTTTTTCTCTTTCTTTTCTCTCTTCTTCTTTTCTGGTGGAGTTATGTCAAATTTGGCGCAACTATATTTATGTAAAAGTTCTTTGTCCTTTAATAGCTCATCTATTCTGTTTTCTATTTCATCTTCAAGAACAGCGCATGTGTCTTCTTTGCATTCTAAGAAGTTTTGTTGGACTTCATCTCTCCAAGAGGCGTCATCTCTGTCAACAAGTCTGTCATTGACAAATTTTAAGACTTCTCTGCTTAATGTTTTATGGTTCTTGTCATATTCCCAGAAACAGAACTTTAGAACAAATTCACCTTTCTTGTTTACACTATGTAAGATTTTATGGTCGACAGATGTTTTGCTGTCGAAAAGTTTGTCTCGAATATAGATAGCGAAATCGCTAGACATTTTCTAAAAGATAAAAATTTTAATTTTTCTAAAAATATGTTAGAAAAAAAGTTTGCTGACATTGACAAAAAATTTGAGAATGTTTTAAACAAGAACAAGAGGAAGTTAGAAAATGCTCAGATAAAGCCTATACATGACAAGTTCTTATTGCTCAGAATGGTATAACAGGTCTAATTGCACCACCTGGGTCGGGTAAGACTTTCACTTATCTTAAAATGGCTGCACAACAACAAGAACTAGATGAGAAGAACCCATTCTATGAGTTAGTTGTCATTTGTAGTACTTCTGGTCAATTTGACCAAACCGTCAATTCGTTCAAAGATATTATAAAGAAGTCTAAGTTAGTATGTATAAAGGATACTGAGTTGTTAGATTGGATAAAGAAGTACCAAAGAAGAGTTTTGAAGTATAATGCTATAAATGAGTATATAAATTCGAAGTTTAAAGACCCAAATGAGGAAATGCAGAGAATATTAGAGAAGAAACACTTCAGAAACAAACAGAAAGAGATAGAATACATTTCGAAGAAATTGCAATCTTACGATTGGAAGACATACCCTCATAGGTGTCTTCTTATCTTAGATGATTTCGCCTCTCATCCTTTGTTAAAGAAACAGAGAACAAGATATGTGTCGAATTCTTAAGAAGCTAGACACTTTAACATCTCAGTTGTCATTTGTGTACAGACAGCAAAGAGTTTAAGTAAGGATGTAAAGAGAAATACTTACTGACATTGTACTTTTCCCCGGATTGTCCGAAGACGATTTCATGGAACTTATGAAAGAGTCCATGGCAGGTAAGTTTGACAGACATGAACTATGGGAGAAGTACAAAGTCATACAAGACCCTCATACTTCTTTCAGAATTCATATCTACGCGAACAAAGTTCAAATTGTAAAAAGTCAAGCTTGAAAAATAAATGGTTCATCTACCCTACTTGTTTGAAGTTGTCAAAATACTCTGTTATTTTTTCCTTCAGTAGCGGTAAGTCTTCTTTGAAGGTAAGTATTGTACAACCTTTCATATCATAGTGTGTTTGAGTAACGTATCTTGAACTATTTGTTTCACATCTTCATTCGGTGTCATTGAAATCGGTAAGTTTTCGCGATAGAACCAATTTCTGTCAGATTTGTAAATCTTAGCAAGGTCGTAAAAGCTTTTGTTGTTTCTTCTGACTAAATGCAACATAACCATATCTTTATCTTTTCATTTTCCATCTCTTCAGTATAAATCATATACTTATAGTTCTTTTCCTTTTCCTTTTGGTAACCGAACGTGTATTCTTTTCTGAATGCTTTTGTCTTTTGCTTCAATGACTTCATCTTTTGCTTGAAGTTTCTTTTCCATCTCTTCACGTTCTTGTCTATGAATTTCGTCAAGAAATCTGTAAATATACCAAGCGTAACGAGGCGAAGCCCACATTGCAACAGCATTTACAAGAAGTCTATGTACATACCAACCTCTCAAACCATTGGCAAATTTTTACGATTTTCATGAGTTTTAGGCGACCCAGATAAAAGTTCGGTCTCGCTGTGCTTCGCTCAAAAGTTCTTGTGTGCTTTGGTTTTTGAACCAATCGTCTGTATGTTTGGTATCTGGAGCAAAACATGCTGTCAAAATACTTTGCATTTGGTACATATCGTCTTTGACCGAACGAATGAGACGGAGTTGTTTGTTAAACTGTATGTACTCATATTCTTCATTTATGGCTTCATGAACGATAGCAGTTGTTGTGTTCTCTGTTGTTGACATATCTGTCTTTACATACAAAATAAAAAAATAAATAAAAATAAAACTAACTTTATTTTTTCTGTCTTAAGGAAACTCATGATTTTCATAGAGTTTTGGCGACTAAGGTTTCTTACCTACTCGCTGTTCTTCACTGTTTTCATACGGAATTCAGCAAAAATATATTTTAGGTGAAGAGGTGAGATCTCACCTGTTTTCTCACCTGTTTTCTCACATGGTCTAAAACACACAAAACTCATGAAATTTGGTCATTTTTCAGCAAAAATAATGTTTAGGTGAAGAGGTGAGATCTCACCTGTTTTCTCACCTGTTTTCTCACATGGTCTAAAACACACAAAACTCATGAAATTTGGTCATTTTTCAGCAAAAATAATGTTTAGGTGAAGAGGTGAGATCTCACCTGTTTTCTCACCTGTTTTCTCACATGGTCTAAAACATACAAAACTCATGAAATTTGTGCTGAATTCAGCAAAAATATATTTTAGGGTAGATGGTTAGATCTAACCTGTTTTCTACCCTCTTTTCTACCCCAGTTATTTTATAAGCGTTTTACATGGTATATGTTGCGATGGTTCATGACTCTAAACAGTTTTGTAGCCTCTATTTCTTCTTTTAGTACATCGAATGTTTTAACAATGCCGAAAGTTTCTTTATATTTCTTCTTGACGTCAGATAGAAGGAAATCTTCTGCTGTTGGATAGTTTTTGTCAAGACTTCATTGTAAATGACCAAAAATAAAGTTTATGTTAGCATGTTAGATCTAACCTCTTTTCTAACACGTTTTCTAACATAGTCTAAAACATACAAAACTCATGAATTTTGTGCTGAATTCAGCAAAAATATATTTTAGGTGAAGAGGTGAGATCTCACCTGTTTTCTCACCTGTTTTCTCACCTCTTTTTTTCACAACCGTTTTACATGGTATATGTTGCGATGGTTCATGACTCTAAACAGTTTTGTAGCCTCTATTTCTTCTTTTAGTACATCGAATGTTTTAACGATACCGAAGGTTTCTTTATATTTCTTCTTGACGTCAGATAGAAGGAAATCTTCTGCTGTTGGATAGTTTTTGTCAAGACTTCATTGTAAATGACCAAAAATATATTTTAGGGTAGATGGTTAGATCTAACCTCTTTTCTCACCTGTTTTCTAACATGGTCTAAAACACACAAAACTCATGAATTTTCAAGACTTCATCGAACTTAAATGTTTTGTCAAGACTTTGTCATATGATTGCTTCTCTCGGTTTTCCGAGGGAAGAGATTCCATGTTTTGTCAAGACTTCATTGTAAATGACCAAAAATATGTTTTAGGGTAGATGGTTAGATCTAACCTGTTTTCTCACCTCTTTTCTCACATGTTATTTTATAAGCGTTTTACATGGTAAACGTTATGAATTCGTGAGACTTTAAACAGTTTTGTAGCTTCTATTTCTTCTTTTAGTACATCGAATGTTTTAACTATGCCGAAGGTTTCTTTATATTTCTTCTTGACGTCAGATAGAAGGAAATCTTCTGCTGTTGGATAGTTTTTGTTCAGAAATTCTAACATGTCCATTTTATCTTCTACCGGCTTTTCTGCTTCTTTCTTTAAGTCTGCATAGTCGTTTCTCATACGTTCTATCTCTTTGACGGAGTAGTTATATTTCCTCATTGCTGCTTTACATTTAGAACATTGCGGGTTCATTTTTGCGTTATATTCTGAAATAAAACCAGCTAAAACAACTAAAGCGTCAATTGCTCTCTTCATCTCAAACATAGCGGGTCTTATTTGTTTGTTCCATACTTTGCCTCTTCTATCTTTATCTCTTATCTGCCATACACATTCAGCAACTAACGAAACAAAGTTGTCGTAGGTCTTAAATTCTTCAGATTTATATATGTCAGAAACATTCTTATATACCATATCGCAATCTTTGTCCATAACCTTATGGTTGCAATGAAATCCTAGAAACTCATAGTTTACCTTTCGTATGAACTTCTTTATTTCTACTGAGTCAGTTGCTTTGACTTCAATTTCATCGAATTCAGGAATAGTGAGTTTTTGTTGTTGGATTTCAGGTAGTTTGGGTAAATGGTCGATGAGGTCCTGCATTTCATAAAGATACTGTTCATTTGTTTCATCTTTCGCACTACAGTCTAAATTACATGTTAAAAGTTCTTGCTTTATCTTCTGGATTTCTGTTTCAAAAGTATATGAAGAAGGAATGAAGCTTTTCATCTCTACTAACATAGATGTTGGATTCATGACTAAAGAGTTTGGTGCTGTTGTTTGAATTGTTGTTGTGCCGATTGTTGAAATCATATCTTTTATACAAAATAAAAAAAATAAAAAAAATAAAACTAACTTTATTTTTTATTTCGGGAAAATTCATGAAAATTCAAGAGGTGAAAAAAGAGGTGAAAAAACAGGTGAGATCTCACCTCTTCACCTAAACATTATTTTTGGGTCCTTTACACTCATTACGAAGAAGTCTTGACAAAACATTTACGAAGAAGTCATGAAAATTCAAGAGGGTAGAAAACAGGTGAGAAAACAGGTTAGATCTAACCATCTACCCTAAACATTATTTTTGGGTCCTTTACACTCATTACGAAGAAGTCTTGACAAAACATTTACGAAGAAGTCATGAAAATTCAAGAGGTGAAAAAAGAGGTGAAAAAACAGGTGAGATCTCACCTCTTCACCTAAACATTATTTTTGGGTCCTTTACACTCATTACGAAGAAGTCTTGACAAAACATTTACGAAGAAGTCATGAAAATTCAAGAGGGTAGAAAACAGGTGAGAAAACAGGTTAGATCTAACCATCTACCCTAAATTATATTTTTGGGTCCTTTACACTCATTACGAAGAAGTCTTGACAAAACATTTACGAAGAAGTCATGAAAATTCAAGAGGTTAGAAAACGTGTTAGATCTAACATGCTAACATAAATTATATTTTTGGTGTAAATTTCATGATTTTCGAGAGTTTTAGACCATGTTAGAAAACAGGTGAGAAAACAGGTTAGATCTAACCATCTACCCTAAATTATATTTTTGCTGAATTCAGCAACAAAATGAACGAGGTCAGGATGTATGTAAATACCTTTGAATTCATTCATAACACCCTTAGTAAGCTCATAAAATGCTTGTTTTGAGGTCGAGCCACTTTTGGCTCCACCGTATTCTTTCAACCAAAACTCAAGAATTTCCTGCATGAATTTTGTATAAAACTAACTTTATTTTTTTATTTCGGGAAAATTCATGAAAATTCAAGAGGTGAAAAAAGAGGTGAAAAAACAGGTTAGATCTAACCATCTACCCGACATTCTCGTCAAATACAAAAAAATACAAAAATGACACTTTTTCATTAGATAACTGTTATTTTTTGACGAAGTGAAGATTGACACTTCGTCAAAAAAATCCCTGAAATCATATCTTTTATACAAAAAAATACAAAATAAAACTAACTTTATTTTTTCTATCTTAAGGAAATTCATGAAAATTCAAGAGGGTAGAAAACAGGTTAGAAAACAGGTTAGATCTAACCTTCTACCCTAAATTATATTTTTGGGTCCTTTACACTCATTACGAAGAAGTCTTGACAAAACATTTACGAAGAAGTCATGACAAAACATTTACGAAGAAGTCATGACAAAACATTTACGAAGAAGTCTTGACAAAACATTTACGAAGAAGTCTTGACAAAACATTTACGAAGAAGTCTTGACAAATTCACGAGGTGAAAAAAGAGGTGAAAAAACAGGTGAGATCTAACCATCTACCCGACATTCTCGTCAAATGAAAAAAATGACACTTTTTCATTAGATAACTGTTATTTTTTGACGAAGTGAAGATTGACACTTCGTCAAAAAATCCCTGAAATCATATCTTTTATACAAAATAAAAAAATAAAACTAACTTTATTTTTTCTATCTTAAGGAAATTCATGAAAATTCACGAGGGTAGAAATGAGGGTAGAAATGAGGTTAGATCTAACATGTTAACATAAATTATATTTTTGGTCCGGGAACAACTTTCTCTCAATTGGAGCTGTGGCATACTCTTTGCGTAAACGGTTCAGACCTTCTTCGAACTCTTGGTCTCTCTTCGATTTGGACTGAGATTGGAATTGCTGGGGTGGAGCTTGCTGGAACATCCAAGGGTTGGGGAAGTAAGGCATAGGCAGAGGAGGGTAGTTCGGGAAGCCTTGTGGTGGGTAGTAACCTTGAGGTGGAAATTGGTAGAAATTCGGAGGTACTTGCTGGAACTGAGGTTGCTGAGGAGACTGTTGTGGTTCTTTAGGTTCCTCTGGTTTGGGAATGGACTCGGTTGGTGGTACATCGGACATCCGTTTGTGTCCTGTCGGAAGGAAGAACTTTTCCTGTCGGAAGGAAGAACTTTTCCTGTCGGAAGGAAGAACTTTTCCTGTCGGAAGGAAATTTTTTTCCCTTTGTCCGGAAAATTTTTTCCTGTCGGATGGAAAATTTTTTCCTGTCGGATGGAAAAACTTTTTCTGAAGTTCGACCAAAAAGTTCTCAATTTTCGAAAATTTGAATGGTTTACGGACGGACAACTGGAAGAGTTCTTCCTGTCGTCGGGAAAAATTTTTCCCTTTGTCCGGAAAATTTTTTCCAGTTGTCGGGAAAATATTTTCCTGTCGGATGGAAGGACTCGGAATGCCAGAAGGATTTGACGAGGCAATTTACCTAATTGAAATTAACGAGCTTGTTAAAGACTACTTGTGCAAGGTCATGAAGCCCAAGGTCAAGTTCACCACTATTTCTGGAAGGGCTGCCTTGAATCTCGAGACTTCGACCGGAATTCCAATTCAAATACCAGAAAACACTCCTTTCGACGACATAAAGGACGCCAAAAGAGAAGCTCTTGTTAAGTTCCTAAACAAACGTCCTTGGATAAAAATACCAAACAAGGAGAACCCCCTACCCCATATGAAATTGGCAATTCAGTCTCTCCTTCACTTCTCGGGTCAGCCGTTCTACATAACCTGTGAAGGCGACATCCAACCAGTTCAGTAAACATCTCATTTTAACTTCACTTTTTTATTTTTTTGTGAAAGTGTCAAAAATAAATTGTTTTCATGAGTTTTCTACGATGTTAGAAAAGTGGTTAGAAAACGTGTTAGATCTAACATGCTAACATAAACATTATTTTTCAATACTTTTTCAGCACTTTTCCGTAGTTATATATGAAAGACAATTCGAGATAAAAGTCATAGTACAATGGAATAATATGTTGCACACCATTTGTTGTGAACCAAACTTGAAAGTCAGAGAAACTGTTACTAGGTGGTTCGTAGAATTTAGAAGCAAAGTCATAAAAGTCCTTACCAATACATAGAAAACTATTGTTGCTTGAACTGAAACTTGCATGACACATAACATTTTGAGGGTCAAACACGTTTCTATAAACTGTCAAATCTGCTGGTGGAAGTATAAATTTAAATGGACCATCTGGTGGTAATGGTTCGTTCTGGTTTAGTAACCGAAGAAATTGTGCCCAAGAACGTTTGTCTACTTTCCAAAATAAAAACTCTGTATCTCTTGGAGGGTTAATTTCAATCTTTTGAAATGAAACGGTGGAGTTCATCTTGTCATATTCTAGTTTCAGATAGTATGTTCCATTTAGTAAAGAGTCGTATTTTTCTTGAAATTCCCAATAATATTTGTTCATTTGAGTTTGAAAGTCATTTAGAGTTTTCTCAAGACTTTCGTCTGAACGAACTGTAAAGATTCTCATTTCGTCAAATTTGTCTATTAGACCATCAGAACCTTTATACTGCCCATGAAAATATACTGCGAACATAAATGCGTTAGTTCTATTTGAAAACAAAACTCTTCTAAATCCTATTGCCTTTGCATCTGAAGGACTTTGAAGCCAACGAATTGGATAGTCAAACCTGTATACTCGGGATGAAATTTCTTCATCTGAAATAGTCCTACCAGCATTTGTAAAGATATAGTCTAACGGTTTTGTATCTGCTACTTTTGTTCTTTGTTTTTCAACCTGAAGCATTTAATATATGTAAAAATATATTGTTTTAAAATGGTATGCCATTTCATATTTCTCATCTAACAAACAAGTTTCCCAACGGTCTTCTCCAACAAACTCAGCGTACATTTCAAATAAAATAAAAAAATGTCACTTTTTAAAAAATAAATTTTTACTTCATGCAATGTTTAACACATCGAAAGGCATGTCCATAAGACGTTCTTCTTCTAACCTCTCTAGTCTGTTTGGATAATTTGCACGTGCTGTTTCCAAATCCATTTCGTAGCGAAGACCAGACAATTTGTCATAGACTTTTATGGGTCTTCCCTTCCTATATTTAAAATTCTTCGAAACTCTCCAACCATATCTTTGTAACTCTGCTTTTATTCTAGCAGATTTTCTATCCATTCTTATATGGGGCATTTTTATAAAAATAAAAAATATTTTTTCTTTACTTTACATAACCGCCTGCTGCCATAAGTCTTTGACGCCAACCCATACCAGCTAATGAAGGTTGACTTGGTTAGTTTCCAAACTAAACTTTGGTTTTGGTTTATCTTCAGTTTTTGGTTTTTCTTCTTCTATCGGTTTTTCGTCACTTTCGGTTTCTCTGACTTTACTTCACTTGCAGGAACAGTTGTGTCGTCAACATCTTCATAAATATCATATGCCATTTGTTTTTGTTTTCCTTTCAACTTTTTGTGTTTGTTGTAAAGTTTAGAATATTTCGACTCTAAGTCAATGAGATGTTCTATAATGAACTGTTGGTCAGTGAAGTAAACTTTTCCATCTGTTGTCTCGAAAAGCTCCTTCAGACTTCAATATTTTATTTGTGAGAGTCTGTTTCTTTTTTGAGATACTTGCCGTTCCATTTTTATGAAAAGTGACTTTGTAGTTAGGGTTTGTATTTCCAGACCTGGCACTTTCTATTATTGAATTTTTTCTCTTCATCTGTAAGTTCTTTGACAGGTTTTGACAATGGTTCTAACTTTTTGTTTGTGGTGTCAAATCTACCGTTTCAACTTCTTCGGTCATTTCATCTCAGTAAAAAATTTTAGTTTGGTTTGTTTTCAACTGGTTGTTTAGGTTTTTTAAGTCGGTCTAAAACTTCCTGAGGTATAGGAAGAACTTGACAAACACGTGGTGTAACTGCTGGAAGCCGACAAATCCATCTTGAACCCATTTGTCTCAATGCTGTATTGTTCATTTCATCTCAGTAAAAAACTTTACATTCCCCACGTTTGAGGCGGTTGAGGTTGGTTATTGTTTACCCATTGTTGTGCATGGTTATATCCTCTGTTAAAGAATC